AAAAAAAAAAAAGACACGAAAATGATTAAACATTGTTCATTTAATGTAACTTTTGGTGTAATGGTTGGAGATGAATTTGGTGTAACACTGGAGATGGCCTAAGTACTTAGAAAACCATAACTGCTACTAAATTATCTCGTGCATCATGCATTGTCTCTTTTCAAATGGTGGCATCACTCATCCCCTATCTTCAAGATAGTCAGCTAAAATGGAAATAGAAAAGAGAAGTGTTAAATAGATATATTTGTTCTCTTAGGTTTAGACTTTAAACGAAGTTGTTTTCTCGTGTTTATAACTTAGACAACATGGTTCAACAGTTTTGGACATATCAGACTAACAAAACCAGATTTGAAGTCGAAATCTCAATTTTTTAACTAGTAATATATATATTTTTTCATCTGCTCTGTTCTACTACATACATAGAAGCCCAAAAAACATACATATTTCAAGAAGAAGAAGAAAAATGCATATCTATATAACTTTAGCACCCTGCATGATCATAAATCTTCTCCTATTTACACCATCTATATTTTCACTTATTTTAGCCAAATGTTTCATTCGTCTTTTGGCCGATTCCGAGACTCCCATCTTTTTAACGGCATTTTGTTCTATCGGTTCATCTTCAATGCCCTCGAAATGTTTGGCCGGCGGGCTTTCGTCAGCTGAAAGCTGAACTATTTGCTTTAATCTTTCCACGACCTGGCTCATCTTTGGCCGGTCCTTTGTGCTTTTTACCAAACAATGATCCGCCAATTTAGCAACTTCTCGAGCTTTGCTGAGCGAATACTGATTTTCGAGTCTCGAGTCCATTATCATGCCAAATTTCCGACTGTCAGGGGGGTATTGTTTCACCCAAGCTAACAGTTTCTGCTCTGATCTTGGTCTCTCTCTTTCAACTGATCGCCTACCAGTCAAGATTTCGTACAATACAATGCCAAAACTCCAAACATCACTCTTAGAAGTAAGATGTCCCGTCTCAACATAATCTGGGGCAGCATATCCATATGTTCCGACGACCTAATCACAGAAAACAGGCCTGCCACAATCAGTTACAAAACATGATATACATAAATGAGATTTTATCATGGGAAAGCTTCATTTTGATGTTTGAAAGATTAAGATACGTTATTTTTGTCCGTTTCCTATACAATACAGAAGAGTTAATCCACCCTATTTTTGTCCATATATGTTGTGTGGTTTCAAACATTAGGAGAATGAAAATAGTTGCTGGAAATTTGAAAACATTTAAAATTTTAATTACAGTACAGAAATGAACCAATTTGGTTCCATAATTAAAGTTGGATCCAACGGTTACGTTTACAAGATACCTAGTAATTCTTGGTTTGGTTCTCTTTGGAACCGGACCATGCCTGCCCTACCGCTCTAAATCAATTAACAAAATTAAACAACTTCATATCTGATAATGCTCAAAACACCATAAGAACAGAACTACCATTTTAACATCTCTTTGTTCAACTTATCTAGATATTTATTAGAAATTTGTTATGAAGTTTTTCACCCATCACACAAGAAGCAAAACTCCATTATGACCAAAGGTGAATTTACCGCTGTAGAAACGTGAGTTTTTCCATCAACTGGACCCTCCCGAGCGAGCCCAAAGTCTGAAAGCTTTGGCCTGAAATCCTTATCCAATAGAATATTTGATGACTTGAAATCCCGATATATAATCTAATCAATTATATAAACAACAGTAAGTTCCAAGGAAGATCGTCAATTTTCTAAGAAAGTGTATCTTGGTGATCAAAGGATCAATTTAGAATAATTGCAGCTTATTATGTAATAAGCAGAAAATAAAAAGTAAAATTGGTATTCTACGGTGAAGATAAAACCTGGACTTCTAATTCCTCGTGAAGATAAGCCAATCCCTGAGCTGCTCCGAGCACTATTTGCAATCTTTGATCCCAAGAAAGAGTTGGAAATGACGTATTGAAAAGATGATCTTCCAAACTTTTGTTCAGCATGTATTCATATACTAGTAGCCGCTGGATACCTCTCTCACCATCCACGGCACAATATCCAATGAGTTTAACGAGATTTGGGTGATCCACAACACCAAGAAATTTCACCTCTGTTACCCATTCTTTATGACCCTAAAAAACCAGGAAAAAATAGTGTTTCAATTATACATCTTACCAGAGTAAGTAAACAGGAAATCTGGCTGAAGCTAGAAGTAACACAATACAGGTGCAAATGTTTCAACTGGTAGTCAATGATTCAATGTTGAGCTCATTCATGGCGTTAAATATTGAATTAACATTACATTTCAACTGCATCAGCATAATAAACATAAAAATGAAGATATCAGCCAAACTCGTCATTTTTCAATCTTATAAAATACAAAATGCCTCCTCCAAAGATTTTAGCCCATCTTTAGTTCCATACAATTTTTTTATGGATTTCATCATTAACAATGTTAATACGATGATCAACGGAGGCTAAGAAAGTAATAGAAAGTAACAGTATCTTCGCTTCTACATGTGCCAAGCATGTGACTTATGCAAGATAAGATTTGGAAATGAGAACCTCAGAGTTAATTCCTTGAGCCAAAAATAAAAAGTTTGATCCTACAAGGAATTACATGATCTGAATCCAATAACATTTTCGCATGATCATCTGCAATTGACCAGAATAATTGCAATCAAAATAGTAAGTAAATATAAGGATAAGTTAGGACAAAAAACAGAAATGCCAATGACAAATTTGACTAAGCTTAAAATTTACTTAAAAGTGGACTAAGCCCTTGTCTGGGCACGATTCTTACTGGATTTTAAGAATAATTTGGACTATTTGAACATCACGTGAGTCTCTATGCAACTGTCATTATCGACTCAACATCAAATGAATTCCCTGAAATGCCAATCTTTCAAATACAATGAAATAAATGTCAAAAGGGTACAAAGGTAATTTTGCTTGGTTTGGTCAATAGATGCACCTGTCTTTTTACTGTTTAACGGGCAGAATTTTGCTAAAATCTGCTGAAAATGGCTTCCAAACAAGGGATAAGTAATATTTTTATCGATCAAGTTCAATATGAGTAAATTACTTGCATCCCTTACTTTCCCATCAAAAATAAGTAACTTTTCTCACTTATAAGTTGAAAAAAGTAACTTATCCTAGAAGATTCTTCCGAGGCACGTACATGATTCTTTAGCACACAGAAGTTCTCTAATCAAATACTAAATCAAAGAAAATACTTCAAGCATATAAAACAACAACTTGTTTTCATCAAAGTATGACAAAATTTATATACCTGATTGCCATCTGTGTTGAGTTTTTTGATGGCAACTACAAAAGGATCGCCCTTTTCATCAACGGGTTTGATAGTTCCCTTATATACACATCCAAAACCACCTGCACCAATCTTAAGTAATCTATGGAAGTTACTAGTGGCCTGTTTAAGCTCAGAGAACTTAAAAACTCTCAAGTTTTGAGCTTTTTCTTCATATAATTCAGATAAACTGCGAGGCGAAGGAGCTGAAGATGAAGATTTGATCACACTCTCAGCTTCTGATGTATAGGATTTGCTTTGGTATTTCAAAGGGGCTGATCTTTGTCCATTGACTCGACTCTTATCCTTGAAGTAATAGAAACACTTCATTTTTCTTCTCCAAAATAAAAAGCAATTTCAAGATTCAATTTTGAATACTAAATCTTCCGTTGAACACCTGTTAAATATATATAAAAAAAAATCAGAATTCAAGAAAAATCCAATTCACATAAATTGAAGAGTCCCAGTAAAAGGAATAAAGAAATCTAACAGTAATCATTAAATATTAAATGAAAAAGAAGTAAAGAACCCAAAAGGCTTAATTTATTGCTGTAAATAGCTGAAGATGAAAAGAACTAGCGCAAAAATAACATAGCAGAAGATTAAAATAATCAAATCTATAAAAAAAATTCAGAAAAAATGTAAAACGGAAAATTCAAGAAGAAGAGGTGTACCCAGATTGAAGAACTGCGAGAAAATAGAAAAGCAAACAAAAAAAATAAACTGAACCCAGATAAATATATTGAAGCAAAAAAAGCGGAATAAAGAGAGAAAAAACAACCTGTAAATTTTTCATTTCTGGCTTCCATTCAACAATCGCTTGGACTGTCTTTCCTTTGTTTATTGGTTTTCTTCTTATAGTATGAAAATTTATCAACTTGTACTTGATTTTGGTTGTATTTAACTATTGTATTATAGACTTGCGTCTCTTTGGATCGCTGTCGAGTGGATATTTGGGGAGTACGGACGATCCACTTCTGCCTTATCATGTATAGACCAAATTTCACGTTATTTTTTCGTTCTCATTCTTCTACTCATTTTCAATCACACAATTTTCAATAAAATAATATTTTTCATCACATCAATAACTTTTCCTTCTTTTTCAACCACATATTTCTCATCACTTCAAACAAAAAAAAATGCATTCTTGAACTCAAAATGTGCAAACAGAGCAAAGACTCAAGCAGGTGAGAGACATTTTGCCGTATTTAAACTTGACTTTTTGAAGTTGAAAATCAACATTTAATAAAATAAAATTATGTTTGAGAATTACTTTATAAACGATTTTGTTTATAAAAAGTAGAAAGAAATGGTAAATGAGTAGTTAGCACTTAAGAATCATATGAAACATATAGTTAAAAAATTAATTGAATATTTATAAATATGAGCCAAACATATGTTAAGTAATTTAAATATAAACTATTTTATTCAGAGATGGCAATGAGGTGAAGCGGAACTGTCTAATCCATTGAGATGGAGATNTTTTTTTTTTTTTTTTTCAATCGATGGATATTCTTGACTAGTAAAGAAACTCCTTATAAGGGAGCTTACTAGCTTAGCCTAACACGAATATATAATATCCTTATAAATGGAAAGTTTTGTTTGTGCCTACTATTATTTTTATCATTTTTCCTCTTACCAATGACAATATTTTAATAAAATTAGATATTTTATGTTAATTCATTTACTCGTATGATTGAGTAGTTTGAAAAATTAAAATAAAACAAGGATACAAGTAAAATTAAATATTACAAAGTATAGTTGCCGTTGTTTGAGTGGACAAGCAAACTACGTAAGCTTACAGGACAATTCGACTCAAACTTTTCTAGTTCGTGGGCGATAGTGATTAGCGGGTGTCCGAGAGATTTCGGGGTGCGATAATAGGCACGAAGACTAAAGGTACCATGATCTATTGACAAAAATAAGGTATAATGATGTTTTTACGTACAATTTGACATTTTAATGGCCGCAAAAAATGGCGTTTCTATGGTTAAAGAGAGAACCTATGTTGGTGGGGACACAGTGCTATAAACTGGAACTGGAAGGTTAGAGATCTAAAAATTTGGTGACCTAACCTTCTTGCTTTAATTTGTAATAGCTCGATATCTCAATTTAAATTTTTCATTAAATTTTATTGCAAAAAATAAAATAAAATAAAAAAGATTAGTTTTAAGCAAGAAGATTTGACATACATGTATTATAATGAGCAAAGACTGAAATATGTGCTCTCAAAGAGATATACTCGATAACAATTTGACAAATTACTTATGGCAAGTTTTTAAACTTTTAAGTTGTTTCTTGAATAATTTCGATAGCAAGTAAGCCAATAAGAATGTATTAACTATTAAAAGCTTAGCCAAACATGCAATAGAAAAAATAATTTATCTAAACACGATTACGATAATTATTTATATAGAAGTAAGGGGTGGGCAAAAGAATGTAACCAATTAAATCAAACTTGAACCAATTGGTTCGGTTCGATTATACTTAAATTTTAAATGTATCAACCTGTCAACTTTCGTTCAATCTCGGTTCTAATACTTAGCACCAAGAAATAAGATCAAGTTCTAATTCAACTATTTTTTTTATAATTATGGTGTATTTGATAGATATTATTGAGGAAAGAATGTATTTTAAACCCCTGTTTGTTTGACATTATTTTAACATAAAAATGATTTTTTGGACCGTTTATTTCAAATTTGTGGGTCCCACCCCCTAGAGAGATTGGTCAAAAATGGCGGTTGAACCCCTCCACAACGATCATATTTCTACTTAAAATACCAAATAAACAGGGGTTAAATAGTAATATGATAGGAAATATGTGGTTAAAAAGTAAGTAAAATATTATTTTATTAAAAAATTTATGATTAAAAATGTGTTTTAAAATAATATATTTTAAAAGAATATGTACCAAACGAGAGCTTAATTATGTTTATTTGGTGAATTTGTTAGACAATATTTTGTTTCAAGATTTGAATTTTCGATTGAATTGAACCAAACCAAATCAGAACCTTAAGGTTCTATTCCATAACTACCAATGTAACTTAATAGTTCAATTTATATAGAAATTATTGATTGTGTATTCAATTTCGATTCTCTTCGAAATCAAACTATATGGGACCACATCCCTCCTCAAAAGTAAGCAAATGTGTTCCAAAAAGTCATTTTCATAGAATTTAGTGAATACTCGTGACCAATCCCTCCAACTTGTACGGTCCCTTTCCGCTCCTGTTTGTGTTTTGAAAACAAAATTTATAAAGAACATGTGTATAAATGTGCATAGCCACTAACTGTTTAAACTTAGGCCTTATTTGTGAGGAATTAAATTTTTTTACAGTAAATCAATTCTCATTTTCAATCACCCATTCTTCAATAAAATAATATTTTCCATCACATCAATAATTTTTTCTTTTTTTTCAACCACACATTTCCCATCACTATTCAAAATCAATTCTTCCTCCAAAAATCTCTCCCAAACAAGATAGAACAAAATTGTGAAAATTGTGATTTTCTAGAAGAAAATCCTCAAAATTATTGGATTTTTTTTTTTTTCTTTTTTGGCAATATATGTAAGAAGTCAATGTCGATGGCTTCGGGAGTGTGGCTGCCAAGTTGGACCATTTTAGGATGGTTACAAATTGAACAAACTCTTTTTTTTTTTTCAAAAACTTGATGGAAGAGACTCGAATATCATCCTCAGTTAAACTCGATTATCATATGTTACATTCCTAAATTATCTCTTAGTCGATTTTTTTTTAATAAAAAAAAAAATTATCTTTTAGAGATCTACAAATCTACGTACACGACATGCAGTTTAAGTAAATTGCCTTTCATGTAGTAGAAGCGCTTGACACGAACTAGTTAAGCATGGTTATGGGCTACTCGAAATTTTAAAAAAATACTATTCAACATCGTTGTGATACAATGTTTTAGAAATATTACGAACGTACTCATCTACGTTTAAAGGTTTACTTGCACATTGGTAAGTTTTACAAAACAAGCTGGCCTTTTTTTAGCTCCATCATTCTTGATACCCCAAGAAAATTTACCTTGTGTTTGAGCCCCATTATTCCGATTTTTTGCCAATTTCATTTTCTGCACTGTGGGTATCACGTTCTTATTTTTCTACTCATTTTCAACTGCATATTTTTCAATAAAATAATATTTTTCATCGTATCAATAATTTTTCCTTCTTTTTCAACCACATATTCACCATCAAAGCACAAAAAAATACATTCTTTCCATTTTAATGTACATCATACACACTCTTAATGAATTGTTGATTTCATTTTCTGCATTGTGGGGGCCACATTTAATGAATTGCTGATAATTTTGAGACAAACACAATCCATGGTTGACTGTTGGGGAGTTGTGTTGTGGCAAGTCAAAAAATGTGATTTCTACTGTTCAAGTAAATGGTGGGAGGTTGTTTAAAAGTTAAGGAATGGCATGATTATTTTTGGAAATTGGTTTTAAAAAATGAGGGTGTTTTCGACCTTTGAATTTCAACATTACCTACAAAAATTAAAATGTCTGACAAAGTTATGTATACTTGTAATTTTTTAACAATTAATTTACTGTTTAATTTGCCAATATTGATGAGTAATATTATTCAACATCACTAATATCAAACACCAGTTTAGTGGGACTCGCGTGGTATTAAATTATAAATTCATTTAAAAGTAATGTAACATAATTCGTTTAATTGAACATATGGTGTTCTACCACCACTGACGCTAAATATCATTATTCTATCTTGATTTGCATATTTTTCTTATAACTACCAGAGTTACCTACATTTTCGAAAAAGAAATGCCAAAAAATGAACAATAAACTCCGATCATCCCACTCCCGCTCCAAAACATTTCGAAAGAGGGGATAACAATGGTATCAAATTAAGCACATGTTTGATGGTCATTATTTGGGTAAAACAATATTATGAATAATGATTTTTAGGAGAATTTGTAGTTAAAAAGTTGGAAAAAATTTTGTGTTTACATACAGAACATTTTATTGTTTAATGTGTGGTTAAAAATGAGTGCGTAGAAAAAAAAATTCAAATAATTGTTGTCAAACGGGACTAAATAATTGAATAATGCTTGTGTGCCGGAAAATGTATGACAGAGAGAGACAGAATATGTGTTGGCATTATATGATTTGATGAAAAAGTTGTCTATGTTTTAAACAGTCCAATAATAAGTTGGCATGTGACATTATGTTAAAAATTATATCAACTAATTACCTTTGTGCTTTGCAATTTATTACAAGATAAAGGGGGTGTTTGACGCATATTTTTTTGGAAAAAAATAAATTTTATAATGTGATGTGGT